TGATGAGCCAAGTGGAAGGCTGTGATAATACCTGCAGTACTACTGTCTGTATTGCATACAGTGTGTGCTTGCACACGTGTTTTTGCTGTTCTGCAAAACTGATGGGGAAATACACCACTTTATAAGAGGCGGAGGCTGTAGTAGGTTTTTGTTGACATCCCCATTTGAAAGTAAAGCCTGTAACACAAAAGAAGCAAGCTGCCTTTAGACTGCATTTACTGCTCTTGATGACTCCAGTTGTGTGTAAATATTAGAAAACAGCAGGGTCCTGCATTCCAAGAATCACTTGAGCAGTGCCATGAAGACAAGTGTCCTTACTGGTATTGTAGTCATACTCCCAAGCTCTCCTGCTGTTTCTAATCTGTGCGCACAGCCGTGAAAAAACTGGACTGACATTTACAGGCACAGCAGGGAGACACTTGAGTAGGGAATGTTAAAGACTCCGCTACCTATGTTTCAAAGTGGCCACCATACATGATAAATCTTCACAGGAGAACTAGTCGGCACTTCAGCTGATGGTGTAATGAGGATATTGATAATGAAGCACAGAATGCTTCTTTTAGTGCTTCAACATTTTGCAGACAGATTGTTTATATTTTTTCCCCTAATCTAAAATATCTGGAGAGAGAATCAAATTCAGGATGGGTATAAGATATTTTTTAGATGGTGCTGATTTGATAATTTTTACAGGAATATTTCCCAATAAGTTAATATAAAGTAATAACATAATTCCTGATGCGTGTTGCAGCTAGCATTAAGAAGGGGGTCAGTTGCTTTCCTGAGTAGTTTGACAGACTTTACTCACTGTTTTGTCCCAGTGAGCTGCCAGATTTGGGATGCCATAATACCAGTAATGCAATTAGGTTTTCTGCACGTTGTCTGGTTGACTTCTCAGTTAAGAGTTTCTTTCCCTTTGGGAATAAGACTAGACAGACTGTCATTTGCTATTACTAATTCTGCTTAGCATTATCACTGGAGCTTTTTTGTAATTAGCTATCTTACTTGGCTCTTAAATTTTAATAGCCAATTGAAGCTACATTTTAGCCAAGTTCCATATCTAAATTGCATTCAGTCCATTAACAAAGTTGGTTAAAAGGCTATTAAAACAAAAGCCAATATATGGTGGTTAGCACTTACATGTTTGCAGCAGTAGCAGTACCAGCCTCCAATGAATATTCTCAAGAAATGGCACTTCCTTCTAGCAAAGGAAGTGCACAAAGAATGACCAAAGTTTGTTTTGGGAACAAAGGCTGATTATGCAGAATACTTGTAGAAAAAAAATAGAATTGGAGTGTGTCTTTTCTGGAAGAAGGTGGGAGAGATGGGGGGAGATGCAGGAAGGGGCAATTAATGGTTCTGCTCTGATTTGACAGGTTCTGGAAAAGCCAAATGAACGAAGTGATGTTTTTCTCCATTTCAGCTGATCAAAATTATTAGCAAAACCATCTGAAGCACCTTCTGGTGGAATTGTCATCTTGCTGAGTTTAGTTTGTAAAACATCCTGCCAGACATTAAAAAAACTGTAAGCATGCCAGCACATAGGCTCAGAGTACCGCTTCTCTAATTGATAGACCCTATAATTCTCTTTTTTACTGAAGACCATGGCTGGATACCTCAGCCTCCCGAGTAATTTAACGTAGCATCAGTCTGAATTTTTTATCCCTAGTAGCACTTGTTTAAATTAGATTTTTCTCCTCTTTTCTTTCTTAAGGTGTAGACAGGAGATTAACAGCCTTTGGATCATCCTGTGACAAATAATGGCTTTCTCAGACTTTTCTGCTTTAAAAAAAAACCAAAAACCTTTACTGTTGTGCAGACATCAGATATTAATACTGCTACAGTTTTAATAGAGAGTCTACCAGTTGCTGATGAGTTGTTTCAAGGATGGTTTGCAGTGCCCTGTATGGGTGATGATAGGTAAGTATCAGTAGCTTCATTGTAGGAGGTGTGAGGCAAACCCCAGATTATGTCTGGATAACTAGTATATATATATGCCTTTACCAGCATATATAATGGGATATCTAAATTACAGTTTCCATAGTGCACCAGTTCCATTGTTAAACCAGACGTAGAGCTGGTGTTCATTGAACATGAGTCAGATCCCATCGCTTGTAGCTGCACTGCAACATCAAACTGATTGGAAAAGCTCTGCGGCAGTAAGTGCCATTCCTTCACCTCTCATGCTGTTTTGGGGTGCTGGGGTCTTTGCGGTGATGCAGTACTCAATGGAAGAAGGAATGGGTTTTATCTGTGTGAGGATTGATTTTCATGATGTCCATCCTCATAGGCAGGGAGAAAGCAGGTGTGGTGGGATCAACTTTGGAAATTCCTAGTCTTAGTCAGGATCTCATGCATAGCTTTATGCAACTGCATGCTAACTCACGTGCATTTTGGTTTTCTCCCCTGATATTTTCAAGGTTCAGCAGCTGAAGATTTAGAAAGGTGATTTCATTAATTCTTTGCTTCATTTTAGGCCTTCTTTATCTCTCTGGATGATAACTCTATAGCAACAGTTTGTGGTTTTTGTGTGGTTTTTTTTCTTTTTTTTCCTTTTCTCCTGAAGGGATATACAGAAAAGGAAATATACTGTTTCTGTGAACTGAGTTTTGCCTGGATGCGGAGTAATCCAGACAGCTTAGAAAAATGCAGCAGCTCTAATGGGATGCTACAGACTAGTTTTCTCTACACTGACTTGCCATGTTTTTAAACATGAAGTCACCAGCAGTATTGCACTTGTACTTCTTTCTAGTTGTCTGTGTTTCATCTTACCCCAACCAAAAGCTGTCTTCTTTCAGACTGGAGCATATCCTGCCCGTGTAGGCTTCCATGCCAGATTTTAATGCCCTTGCATTTAGGTCTACTGCATACAAATACCCGAAGTATTTTCAAATGCACCTCAACTTCCACAACTGCCTAAGCTGCTGACAAGTGAATCCTGACAGCTTTTTCTTCGCCATTGTGAATGCTGCAACAAGCCACAACTGAGGTTTTGCATTTTCCCAGGGATACCCCAAAGGATGAAAGAGTTGTGGAGTAACTGTCATTTGATGGGAGAAAGATTGCCTCTTGTATTTCTACTTCTTGTCTTGGAAGGTCAGCTTTCCAACCCTGCAAACCTTAGCTGCTGTGATGGGTTTTCATAAGTATACTCAGAAGAAAAGTGATGAGAACACAATGAGACAGCTATGAAGTACAGTAGAAGTGAAAAGAAAATACACATTTTTATGAACTTTCCTGAACTAATTCCTTTTGCCAGACCACTCCAGAAAGGAAGAAGCTGGCACAGTGGTAATCTGCATCTGCAGCTTCTGAGAGAAGAAAAATGCTTCCTTGGCAAATGGAGCAAGAAACCTAGAAAATTAAGGATTAATATGTTCATTTATACAGAAGCAGTGAGAACACAATAACATGAAATACAACCAAGGAGGATGCATTTAGAAGACAAAAGAGCCCTGGAAGGGAAGGTACTTAGCTTTGTTCAGAATGCAAACTATAACATGCAGTTCTGGGAATTGGTGAATCGCACAGCTGAATGTTAAAAGAAATTACTTCATACCACAAGAAATACATGATCTGTGCCTTGAAAACCTGAAGGTACTTTCCTTTTCCTTTCTGCCAGGAGAGGAGTGGAACACTGGATCTACTTGAAAGTAAGTAACCCTCCAGCTAATTTTGTCTATCTGCTGCTAAACCTGAACAAAAATAGTTTTACTAATAAACTGAATTACTTTCTGAAAACAGATATATCTATAAAAAATAAAAATGCCTTTATTC